CTCCAACGCCATTTTACAGGATTTGTCAGTACATTGAACCGGCATCACAACCGCAGACCACGTGTAACCACGCCAGCCCAGGACCTCCACATCCGGCTTCGTCACCTGCCTTCCGGACAGCTGATAAAACTGTGGGTTTGCACAACCGAAGAATTTCTGCACAAACTGCCAGAAACCGTCTCAGGGTAGCTCATCTGCGTACTCGTCGTCCCCACCTGACTGCAGTTCTGCATCGTAACCCACTTCGATGGCCACTGGCACGCTGGAGAAGTGTGGTCTTCACAGTTGAATCCCGGTTTCAACTGTACCGGAAGATAGCAGACAGCATGTACGGCGTCATGTGGGCGAGCGGTTTGCTGATTCAGCATTGTGAATATAGTGCCCCATGGTGGTGGGGTTATGGTATAGGCAGGCATAAGCTACGGACAAAATTGCATTTAATCGATGAAAATTTGAATGCACTGAGATACTGTGATGAGATCCTGAAGCCCATTGTTGTGCCATTCAGCCGCCGCAATCACCTCATGTTTCAGCATGATAATGCACGGCCCAATGTCGCTAGAATCTGTACACAATTCCTGGAAACTGAAAATGTCCCAGTTCTTCCATGGCCTGCATACTCACCAAACATGTCACCACCCATTGAGCATGTTTGGGATGCTCTGGATCGATGTGTACGACAGCATGTTCCAGTTCCCACCAACATGCAGCAACTTTGCACAGCCATTGAAGAGGAGTGGGACAACATTCCACAGACCACAATCAACAGCCTGATCAACTCTACGCGAAGGAGATGTGTCATGCTGCATGAGGCAAATGGTGGTCACACCAGATACTGACTGGTTTTCTGATCCACGCCCCTACCTATTTTTAAAGAGGTATCTGTGACCAACAGATGCATATCTGTATTCCCAGTCATGTGAAATCCATAGATTAGGGCCTAATGAATTCACCTCAATTGACAGATTTTCTTATATGAACTGTAACTTTATTTTATTATTTTCGACATTGTAGAATAATAGTGAAGACATCAAAACTATGAAGGTCAGTCAATACGGAACATTTCAAGAACTTTTAAAGTTTCTTCAAGTGCAGTCGCAAAAACCATCAAGCGCTATTATGAAACTGGCTCTCATGAGGACCACCACAGGAATGGAAGACCCAGAGTTACCTCTGCTGCAGAGGATAAGTTCATTAGAGTTACCAGCCTCAGAAATTGCAGCCCAAATAAATGCTTCACAGAGTTCAAGTAACAGACACATCTCAACATCAACTGTTCAGAGGAGACTGTGTGAATCAGGCCTTCATGGTCAAATTGCTGCAAAGAAATCACTACTAAAGAACACCAATAAGAAGAGACCTGCTTGAGCCAAGAAACACGAGCAATGGACATTAGACCGGTGGAAATAGGTCCTTTGGTCTGGAGTCCAAATTTGGTTCCAACCGCAGTGTCTTTGTGAGACGCAGTGTGGGTGAACGGATGATCTCCGCATGTCTATTTCCCACCGTAACGCATAGAGGTGGTGGTGTTATGGAGTGGGGGTGCTTTGCTGGTGACACTGTCTGTGATTTATTTAGAATTCAAGGCACACTTAACCAGCATGGCTACCACAGCATTCTGCAGCGATACGCCATCCCATCTGGTTTGGGCTTAGTGGGACTATCATTTGTTTTTCAACAGGACAAATGACCCAACACACCTTCAGGCTGTGTAAGAGCTATTTGACGAAGGAGGAGATTTCTGCATCAGTTCTGCATCAGATGACCTGGCCTCCACAATCACCTGACCTCAACCCAATTGAGATGGTTTGGGATGAGTTGGACCGCACAGTGAAGGAAAAGCAGCCAACAAGTGCTCAGCATATGTGGGAACTCCTTCAAGACTGTTGGAAAAGCATTCTGTGGACAGGTGTCTTTTATACAGGTAACAAGCTGAGATTAAGAGCACTCCCTTTAAGAGTGTGCTCCTAACCTCAGCTCGTTACCTGTATAAAAGACACCTGGGAGCCAGAAATCTTTCTGATTGAGAGGGGGTGAAATACTTATTTCCCTCATTAAAATGCAAATCAATTTATAACATTTTTGACATGCGTTTTTCTGGATTTTTGTTGTTGTTATTCTGTCTCTCACTGTTCAAATAAACCTACCATTAAAATTATAGACTGATCATGTCTTTGTCAGTGGGCAAACGTACAAAAATCAGCAAGGGATCAAATTCTTTTTTCTCCCTCACTGTGTGCATTACACACACACACACACACACACACACACACACACACACACACACACACACACACACACACACACACCTTGTTTGTTTACACAGTGTTGTTCTCGAGCACAATCCTACAGTCATCAGTGCTCTTGTTGATTCTAATGGAGTGGAAAAAAAGATCTGCATGATATTTCTAAGAGATTGATTGGGATGCAAATTGCATTGTGCGCCCGATTGGTATGTCCTTGCCTGTTTTAATTGGATTCTGTTAATTAATGTTGGATGGGATGATGAGAGGAATTACTAGCGTGTTTTGTGCATATCGTTATCGCTAATTGATCCTGAGACAACAACACCTCACAACTGCAGGTAATTACACTAATTGTGAGGCAACATCTTAGTCACTGTTTGTTTCATTATCGGCAGGCTAATGAGGAAATGCATATTTAAAGACAACGTGCTAAGATTATCTAATATCTTATATCTAAAGGTTATCGTCAAGGAGGTTGAATTCAGCCAAACTCATTGTGATGGTCTCATGAGCAAAATTAAATGGATGAAATGAGCACTTTTCTAAATTCTTTACATTGAGCATAATTTGATATTTTATTAGTTTATGTACAGTGCATTCGAAAAGTATTCAGACCCCTTCCCTTTTTCCACTTTGTTACGTTACAGCCTTACTCTAAAATGGATTTTTAAAAAATAATATCCTCAATCCACACACAATATCCCATAATGACAAAGCGAAAACAGGTTTTTAGAAATCGCCAATAAATAAAAAAATTTAACAAATGAAATACCTTATTTACATAAGTATTCAGACCCTTTGCTATGAGACTCGAAATTGAGCTCAGGTGCATCCTGTTTCCATGGATCATCCTTGAAATGTTTCTACAACTTGATTGGACCCATGGGGCGGGGCATAATTGGCCCAGCGTCGTCTAGGGTAGGGGAGGGAATGGCCGGCAGGGGATGTAGCTCAATTGGTAGAGCATGGCGTTTGCAACGCCAGGGTTGTGGGTTCGTTTCCCATGGGGGGGGGTATTAATTATTATTTTTTTAAAGTAACAATAATGTATGCACTCAGTAACTGTAAGTCGCTCTGGATAAGAGCGTCTGCTAAATGACGTAAATGTAAATGTAAAATTGGAGTCCACCTGTGGTAAATTCAATTGATTGGACATGCTTTAGAAAAGGCACACATGTCTATATAAAAAAGGTTCCACAGTTGACAGTGCATGTCAGAGCAAAAACCAAGCCATGAGGTTGAAGGAATTGTCCGCAGAGTTCGAGGATTATATCGAGGCACAGATCTGGGGAAGGGTACCAAAAAATGTCTGCAGCATTGAAGGTCCCCAAGAACACAGTGCCCTCCATCATTCTTAAATTGAAAAAGTTTGGAACCACCGAGACTCTTCCTAGAGCTGGCCACCTTGGCAAACTGAGCAATCAGGGGAGAATGGCATTGGTCAAGTAGGTGACCAAGAACCTGATGGTCACCGACAGAGCTCCAGAGTTCCTCTGTGGAGATGGGAGAACCTTGCAGAAGGACAACCATCTCTGCAGCACTCCAGCAATCAGGCCTTTATTGGTAGAGTGGCCAGACAGAAGCCACTCCTGAGTAAAAGGCACGACAGCCCGCTTGGATTTTTCCAAAAGGCACCTAGAGGACTCTTAGACCATGAGAAACAAGATTCTCTGGTCTGATGAACCCAAAATTGAACTCTTTGATCTGAATGCAAAGCGTCACGCCAGGAGGAAACCTGGCACCATCCTTACGGTGAAGCATTGTGGTGGCGGCATTATGCTGTGGGGATGTTTTTCAGTGGAGACTAGTCCGGATCGAGGGAAAGATGAACGACCAGAGTACAGAGAGATCCTTGATGAAAGGTCCTGAGCGCTCAGGACCTCAGACTGGGTTGAAAGGTTCACCTTCCAACAGGACAACGACCCAAAACACACAGCCAAGACAACGCAGGAGTGGCTTCGGGACAAGACTCTGAATGTCGTTGAGTGGCCCAGCCAGAGCCCGGACTTGAACCCGATCTATTATCTCTGGAGAGAAAATAGCTATGCAGAGACGCTCCCCATCCAACCTGAGAGCTTGAGAGGATCTGCAGAGAAGAATGGGAGAAGCTCCCCAAATACAGGTGTGCCAAGCTTGTAGCATCATACCCAAGAATGTAGCATCATACCCAAGAAGACTCGAGGCTGTAATCGCTGCCAAAGGTGCTTCAACAAAGTACTGAGAAAAGGGTCTGAATACTTATGTAAATGTGATAGTTCATTTTAAATAAATTTGCAAACATTTCTAAAAACCTGTTTTTGCTTTATGGGGTATTGTGTGTAGATTGATGAGGAAAACATACAATTTAATCCATTGTAGAATAAGGCTGTAACGTAACAAAATGTGGGAAAAGTCAAGGGGTCTGAATACTTTCTGAATGCACTGTACATGTTACTGACATGGGATAAATGAGATTCCTACCACATGTAGCGAGATCCTATTAATGTTAATAGAAAGTAGCATTTTCCAGGTAGCATCATCAACCTCTTGATGGAACACCCTGACGTGTGCTCTGGTTGAGCCCTTAACCCCAGCGATCTGTTTCCTCGCGGCCTAAGTGCATCATGGATGAAGTGCTCAATTTCGGCAGTCACGGCGAGCCTAGAGGGCGTCAGTACGTCGCAAATAAACAAACATTCTAATGTAACGAGTCGTGCTCCGAGAGGTTGAGTGTGCGGCAATTAGTAGTCTCGTCATTATGCGGCAGGTGGGTCGTTAGCGGGTGGGCGGGTGTGACCTTGCCGAGGGGCTCGTTAGGGGGAAGATTGACATGACAACAACGGTAACCGTGACGACAGATACTCGGGCTGTGGCCGGCGCACCTGTGATGTCATGCTGCTTGAAGGAGTCGCTGTAGATCTGGTGCTGCTTGGGGCAGTGCTTCTTCAGCCATTTGCATACGTCTTGCTGGGTCCACAGGGCCACCGGCTTGGACAGCTTTACGTTCCCCGGCTGCATGGAGGGGAAAGAAAACAGATCAATTATAGGTCCAAAATAGATGGCATATGCAGTACTAACATACACTACGCAGTAATACACTATACCAGTAACCACTAACACACAAGACAGCCTGTACCTATACAGTGCATACACAAACAATACAATATCAACCAATGCAGATAAAAGTAAGGGCCATTTGTATCATCCTGATGGATGATCTGCATGTCAGTAATAGACAGCAATACACAAGAGTTGCTAGCGTATACACTATAAGTAGGCCTAGGGTTAGAAATTACATAGTACATGCCAGTACCAATGATATAGCAATGTCTACAGATATATGGTAATAAGCAGATACGCATGTTAGACAGCACTAATGGAATCATGGTACAGTACTATTTCTCAGACCAAAGAGGACATACTGTAGATAATTTGACCCGACAACAACATGCAGCCAGGGTGATAGTTAATATGTTGCCTAATCCCTCAGGCATTCAGCCTGCGTCCCGCTTAACAACCGCCATCATAGCTAAAGTGCTGGCATCGCTTCCTTTTGATTGAGGGGCTACTAAAATTACCCACCGAAAGGTGGTACAAATTACAGATCCACCCCCTTCCTCCCATCTCCCTCCCACTCCAGTCAGCAGCTCAGTGGTGGCTCGCATAGGGTACTGTGTGGTGCGGCATAGCAATAGAACATGCCTCCATCTAGGCTAGCATAACAACACAGTACCCACAGCATTCCCCTGTCTGTCTGTACCTGACTGACTAGAGAGAGACAGAGACCGGGAGCGAGATAGATAGAGAGCACCACCAGGGAACACAGTCATTCTTCCCGTGCCAAGCATAGTCAGAGTGCAGACTATGACGACCAGCGTGACTGCTTTGGCAGGCCACATAGATGCTGAATCTGCAGGGAGGGAAGAGATGGGAGACCTCCGCTGAGGGGAGGATGGCGTTGCAACAAAAACCCACGTTAACCATTACATACAGCTCAGCTCAGCTCAACACTAATTAACCCTGACTAGCAGCCTGCGGCGTATGATGCAGTACAGTGCATGAAGGGGAAGGAGTTAGTGTAGCTCTGGATGGCTTAGCCAGAAACACTACCATGATGAGCCAGTAGGGAGTAATGGGGAGAGAGAGAAAGAGAGCGAGAAGGGGCGTGTGTGTGTGTGTGTGTGTATATAAGTCTGTGTGTGTGTGTGTGACAGAGAGCGAGATAGTTAAAGAGATAAGGGACAGGGCTGGAAAGAGGATCGGGAGAGAGGGATGAAGTCAGAGAGAGGCTTGGCTTTGCTCACTACTGCTCAGGGGTGAGTGTGTATTAGGGTGCACTGCACAGGGTGAGCTCGGTGGGGTTGGAGAGGGAACTGCAACAGTTCCTGAGTCAATATTACATAGTACTGTAATGTAGCACAGAGCAGTGTTTCTGGGACTTTAACATTGTGTGAGGCTATGCTTGCCAGCCATGGAACGCATAGAGAGAGAGAGAGAGAGAAAAGAGAGAGAGAGAGAGAGAAAGAGAGAAAGAGAGGAAAGGAAAAGGAAGAAAAGGGGGAATCATCCACAGAAATGCATTTGAGACTGAGCCAATTAGAGATTTGAGTGACAGCGCTGCTGTGCGGAGCGAGAAAAAGCTAGCTTCATTTCTAAGTGAGAAATTGAGAATATGTCTGTGCGCACACGCTCGCAAACACCACACACACAGTCAAATCTGTCCTTGCCATAATTAAAATGCACTATGCAGTTCAGGTATTTCTCATGATGTTACCTTAGCAACAGAGCAAGGACAACTTCAAAACATAAACACAAAAAATTTAGAATTTCAACTCACAAAGCCATTAAAATTAAAACATACACCCACAGCAACAAACACTGACTACTACCAGGTGTAATTAATAGGATACTTGATATTGATACTAAAAGCATTACAGGTAGTTAATGAATTACTTATATTCATTTAAAGTAACACCATTATTACAACAATGTAAAGGCATTTTAGGAGTTCTCGTAGTGTTGGCGTAGCGCCACCACCATGTATAGCCTAGTTAGTACACTATACTGCCCTACCAAGCAAAAGAGCAGTAACTGTGCATTTGGTCAAAAATGAGTTAGAAATTTTTTATACATTAAATACATGCTTTATCATGTGGACAAATAGCCTGGCTCCATTGTGTTGTGGACAAAATGTGTGGGGTCATGTTTGAGGGGGGGTCAAAATGTTAGTGAAACCAGGTAAAAAAAGGCACTAACTGCCATCACTAACATCAGTTACTGCCTTTTACCTTGTTTCACTGAGCTTTGGGCTGCAGTGTCTACGGTTTATGACACTGACAGCCACATACAAATAAATATATTAACACAAGTGTGTGTCAAAAAAAGAATGTCATGGAAACCAGTGGGTGTACCAAGCAAGGGGCGGCAGTAACTGCAGTCTAGGGTCAAAGGTAATGTCAGAGGTCAGGGTCAATATGAATAAACCTCATAGTAAGACAACAATTAACCACATCTCTAATGATTTGCCTACAATTCATTTGGCTGGACAAAAAAACAACAACTTTGAAGTCGTTTTTCTCAGTTACTGCTCTTTTGCTTGGTAGGGCAGTATACAGCTCTGGCATTCTCAAACATACAGCGCCATCTAGTGAATAAATGACCACACCGCATAATTCCAATGATACAGTACAATATTTCCTTAGTGATGAGTGGGAATATCCATTAGCGTCACGCTGACCAAGTAAGTGGGTATTTGAGACATTGAGCCCCAGTCTCTCTCTCTCACACACATCGCTAATTATTCCGTTACGTTGCAGGAATAAGGCAGGCCGGGCAGCAAGGGAGAAATAACACGCTATGCTAAGTAAATTAATAACAGTTTTAAAGACGCCTCCGGGTTGAAATTGGATTTACAAGCAGTGTGGAGACAGACTTTATTTGGGGCCACATCAAAGAAAGAACATACACAACGCTGGCTTTTAATTCCCTGACCTTGGGAGTCAATATCGGTGTTTTATGAAGCAGGGCAATAAGAGTTGGTGAGTGTGTACACAAAGTAATATATTGCTTTGGGCATGATATTGATTATGTGTAAGGTTTGTTGATTTTCAATTATAATATATACACACACACTGAACAAAAATATAAAACGCAACATGTAAAGTGTTGGTCCCATGTTTCATGAGCTGAAATAAAAGATCCCAGACATTTTCCATTCGCACAAAAAGCTTATTTCGCTCAAACTTTGCACACAAATGTATTTACATCCCTGTTAGTGAACATGTCTCCTTTGCCAAGATAATCCATCCACCTGACAGCTGTGGCATATCAAGAAGCAGATTAAACAGCATGATCGTTACATAGGTGCACCTTGTGCTGGGGACAATAAAAAGCCACTAAAATGTGCCGTTTTGTCACAACACAATGCCACAGATGTCTCAAGTTTTGAGGGACCATGCAATTGGCATGCTGACTGCAGAAATGTCCACCAGACCTGTTGGCAGAGAATGTAATGTTAATTTCTCTACCATAAGCCGCCTTCAACGTCATTTTAGAGAATTTGGCAGTTCGTCCAACCGGCCTCACAACCGCAGACCACGTGTAACCAAGCCAGCCCTCCACATATTTCTGTCTGTCATAAAGCCCTTTTGTGGTGAAAAACTCATTCTGATTGGCTGGGCCTGGCTCCCCAGTGGGTGGGCCTATGCCCTCCCAGGCCCACCCATGGCTGCGCCCCTGCCCAGTCGTGAAATCTATAGATTAGGGCCTAATGAATTTATTTCAATTGACTGATTTCCTTATATGAACTGTAACTCAGTAAAATCGTTGAAATTGTTGCATTTATTTATTTTTATTTCACCTTTATTTAACCAGGTAAGCCAGTTGAGAACAAGTTCTCATTTACAACTGTGACCTGGCCAAGATAAAGCAAAGCAGTGCGATAAAAACAACATTTTTTATATATAATACATGCCATTTAGCAGACGCTTTTATCCAAAGCAGCTTAAAGTCATGGGTGCATACATTTTACGGATGGGTGATCCCGGGAATCGAACCCACTATCCTGGCATCGCAAGCACCATGCTCTACCAGGTCATGCTTTCAGTCGATGCTGTTGCTTAGCCACAGAGTTTTCCTATTGGCTGAACTGCACCTTACTGTGCTGGCTCTGACATTTTCAAACATGTTCCAGCAACTAGAGGTATGTGTAGCCTGGCCAGAGCACTACAGCTTGGCTCGGGTTGGTTTGGCTCAGTAGTGTGAAAAGGGTATCGAAGTCATTAACTCAAATGACGGATACTGTACAATGTGCATGGTTGAAAATACAGTTTGTGATTAAGACGTCCTACTTCATGCTCTTTATTAAATATGTGAAGAGTTGACTGATGCCCTATGAAGTGAGGTAACAGAACTCCCACTGCTTTCTAATGAGGATTCCATGCAGTGATGACATTCATTTTTCAAATGAACTAACATGGTGGTTTATCACGCTTCCTCTTCTACTGTAGGAACATAGAAGGCATGTACCATGCAGGGTGACTCTAAAAAGCATCCTAGTTTTTCGTCAAAGGCGTAGCTACGTGGAGCTTCTTGGAGGACATTGTCTGGGTGAAAGCAGTTCCAGTCAGCCAGATAATTATCTGTCATTTTTCTTTCTCATCTCCCTTTAGAGACAGCGGTGGAAAGAGGAAGATATGTCAGGTCCGTCGTCTCGACAGGATGCTATTTTTGGAGAGGAAATAAAAGCAAATCTTCACTGACAACAACCTTTAATCTAAATAAGTCGTTCTCAGGAAACATTAATTAAGGGCTGTCGAAAGAGTTCATTTGAAAAGTTCCTCGATTGCTCAAGCAATGGTTAGGTGCCAGAAAGAGTGTAGTAAGGAAGTAATTACTGAATTCAAATTGTCTGTTAGAATTACATTTCTGAAAGTCCCTAAAAATGTGCAAGGGTACAGCAAAGGATGGGACCTGTTACTAATATCCCAAAATCAACCTACAAATCTATTACAGACCAATAATTATGGTATGAGTGGTCACCCCAGCCTGGTACCTATCCTGACATTCGTTAGAGCAGACCTTCTCAACCCAGTCCTTGGGACACACCAGCTGTACCATCTATTTGCTCCAACACCATGCACTCCTGAAACTAGTCAACTAATCAGCAAGCTGCTTTTAATTAGAATCAGTTGTGCTGGGTTTACGATACATCAAATATATGGAATGACTATTGGGTCCCGAGGACTGGGTTGATAAAGGCTGCATTGAAGTCCCCCTGTTCTTACCCGTGAGAGTTCTGACTCAGAGACGGAGCGCTGGGGCGGCGAGCGGTGCTGGTACCCGGGGCTCACGTCCTGACAGGTGGGGCTGTCGTCGTCCAGCATGGCACCTTGGTCAAGGGGCTCCTCCAGGTGTGAGGTCACGTCGTCCGGGCACATCATCTGGTGGTCGATCCCATTCTGGCTCAGGTTGCAGTGGACAGCTGCAGGGATAAATAGGAGGGAGGGGACGGACACAAGGTTAAATTAAACTATAGGACATCAATGTGTACAGTATAGCTGTGTGTCGGTGTACCAACCATCAACTTGCTGGTTGGTAATAGTATGCACATCCATTCTGGAAGTCTGGATCACATTGAGTGACAGTTCAGAAATGTAAAAAAATACTATGGAAAATTGGGGACATGAATACCAGTAGCAAAGGTACCAGCGTTACCACATTTGAGTTCTTGGTGCATGTTGTACTATTAGAATATCACTAGAGGGCGGTACATAACATAATTTGGTAGAGTGGCCAACACCATTTTACTTGGAGAACATTCAACAATTAGGCCTAACATTTAGGTCTAAAGCTTTTATAACACTGACATTCATTACATAATTACACATACTGACAAAAGTCGATTGCAGGCGCTATTTGAAGTCTAATCAGAAAACAGAAAGAGTACTGACAGAAGTTACCATGGTAAACTAAAATAGTTTTACCATCTAGCCATGTCAGGCTTTTGAAAAACCAAACTTTACATCACCTTAAAAAGGCTTGTAAAATGATCCAAAACAAATAATTAAAACGCATAAATAAAATTAACACACTCTTATGCTTGAGGTCAAATATTATAACTGTTTCCCTGACTGTGATCTCTGAAAACACACACCATTAGGCGGGAAAACACATTCACCGTCTAAGCTCTGACCCAGTCTAACCCCACACTTTTTTTGGAGGGTACACAAACTACACGAGCTGCATAATAATTGCATATTATTCCCATACATTTCTGCGACAGGCATATTTGTGCTGTGGGGAGATTAAAAAGATGACACGTTCATAAGTCTGACCCTGATGTAAGTCATGTTGGCACGATGCCAGGTGGTGGATAGCTGCCAAGGCTTGTTCTGGGCCACTGTCACCAAGAGATTACAGGAAACCCAACAAGGAAGAACAAATGAATAAAAAAATGTGTTTTTCCTCATAGTAGAGTAAGAGGAGGCGAGACGCCCTTCTGATCCTGATCCACTAGCTCTACCACTTCAGTCTACTTATGATGACACGACAACGTACAGCAGAGATTACCACAAAGGGTTACTGGATGTAATCTGCTGGATTTGACTAACTAATATCAACAAATAAATATTTAAATGTAAGGGAAGTGTATGTTTCAATTTGAGCTGATAGAAATAAATGCAAATTAGACAACTAGACATTAACCCAGAGACAGTTTTAAATCCAAGCAATAGTAAACTATAAAACACACAATGGCAGCAATACATGTGAACTGAACTCTATTGAACCCTTACAATGCCACCTCATTATCAATAGCAGTAACTGACTTGTTGACAAGATTACATCTGGTTTGGTTTCAGTTTCAATCTCTGAGTAGTCTCCCTAGGCGGACAGCATACACCCTTGGTCTGGAATTCCCAAGACAGAGTAACTAGGCAGAAACCATGATGCATTCCCTTTCAAATAGAAAGGGCAATATACAGTGGGGAGAACAAGTATTTGATACACTGCCGATTTTGCAGGTTTACCTACTTACAAAGCATGTAGAGGTATGTCATTTTTATCATAGGTACACTTTAACTGTGAGAGTCAATCCAAAACAAAAATCCAGAAAATCACATTGTATGATTTTTAAGTAATTAATTTGCATTTTATTGCATGACATAAGTATTTCATACATCAGAAAAGCAGAACTTAATATTTGGTACAGAAACCTGTTTGCAATTACAGAGATCATATGTTTCCTGTAGGTCTTGACCAGGTTTGCACACACTCCAGCAGGGATTTTGGCCCACTCCTTCAGGTTTCGGGGCTGTCGCCCTATCTTCAATGCTCTTACTGAGGGAAGGAGGTTGTTGGCCAAGATCTCGCGATACATGGCCCCATCCATCCTCCCCTCAATACGGTGCAGTCATCCTGTCCCCTTTGCAGAAAAGCATCCCCAAAGAATGATGTTTCCACCTCCATGCTTCACGGTTGGGATGGTGTTCTTGGGGTTGTACTCATCCTTCTTCTTCCTCCAAACACGGCGAGTGGAGTTTAGACCAAAAAGCTCTATTTTTGTCTCATCAGACCACATGACCTTCTCCCATTCCTCCTCTGGATGGTCATTGGCAAACTTCAGACGGGCCTGGACATGCGCTGGCTTGAGCAGGGGGACCTTGCGTGCGCTGCAGGATTTTAATCCATGACGGCGTAGTGTGTTACTAATGGTTCTCTTTAAGGACTATGGTCCCAGCTCTCTTCAGGTCATTGACCAGGTCCTTCCTCGTGATCATTGATGCCCCACTAGGTGAGATCTTGCATGGAGCCCCAGACCGAGGGTGATTGACCGTCATCTTGAACTTCTTCCATTTTCTAATAATTGCGCCAACAGTTGTTGCCTTCTCACCAAGCTGCTTGCCTATTGTCCTGTAGCCCATCCCAGCCTTGTGCAGGTCTACAATTTTATCCCTGATGTCCTTACACAGCTCTCTGTTCTTGGCCATTGTGGAGAGGTTGGAGTCTGTTTGATTGAGTGTGTGGACAGCTGTCTTTTATACAGGTAACGAGTTCAAACAGGTGCAGTTAATACAGGTAATGAGTGGAGAACAGGAGGGCTTCTTAAAGAAAAACTAACAGGTCTGTGAGAGACGGAATTCTTACTGGTTGGTAGGTGATCAAATACTTATGTCATGCAATAAAATGCTAATGAATTACTTAAAAATCATACAATGTGATTTTCTGGATTTTTGTTTTAGATTCCGTCTCTCACAGTTGAAGTGTACTATGATAAAAATTACAGACCTCTACATGCTTTGTAAGTAGGAAAACCTGCAAAATCGGCAGTGTATCAAATACTTGTTCTCCCCACTGTACATGTACATGAGGGCCATGTTTTAACCAAAGGCAACTTAGGATGCATGGCACAGAGCTCTCCTCCTGCTCTCTTGTCGCCTCCCTCGTTCTTTTGCTCTTGTCGCCTCCCTCGTTCTTTTGCTCTCTCCCCCTCTGTATCGTAATGCATTGTATGACTGGTGTTCAACCATTCTGGAGCAGCACTGAATTATGCATCCTCTGTTAAGTGTGTATGTACAATTACAGCAATATGGAAATAGAAAGAGAGAGAGAAAGGATAGAGGGGGAGGGATGAAAGGAGAGGGAAAGATTGAGAGTTGCCTGACTTTTTTTCTGCAATTGCCCAGAACATTCACCCCCACTCCTTTCCTCTGACATGCGCACATTGTGAGGGAAGAGAGACGCATCCGTCCGCTTCCTCCCTCCTTTTTTCTCTCAATGAGGCAGAGTCAATGAGGGGGAAAGAGAAAGCAAGAACTGCATGGAAAACGCATAGAACCACCATCTTGGCATTACTGTATCAATGGTCTTTGGAAGAACAAAGGTTGGTCATGAATCCAAAGGTCGTACGAATGTTACAACATAGCAGCCCTGTGGAATTATGTCTTATCACCTGTATAAGGACTCATATCACGCTGTTGTAATGGTATAGTTTCCGACAACAATCTTGCGGAGGGCTTTCTTTACTTAATTTATAGCTCTGTGTATAGTACAAAGTATTAGAAGCGAGCTAAGAATGAGATGAGCATAGACCCTGATTTTATTTCATACAAAACTTCCATCTCAAATTTCCCTTAAAGATATACAATGATGAGCATTACAGACGTTACCCCAGATGTTTAAGTCGGACTGCATGAAGCCCCCAGATCAGAATCCATGTCCACCAACATCAAAGTTTGGATTGAAGACAAAGCAATGTAGAAGGGGGAAACAAGGTGGTAAAGGTTGTGGAAGCACAATTAGGCTATTACAATCTGTACTATAAATACAAAAATATATATACTAGTTTTATTTTCCCTACATGCATCCAGAGCCATACTTGAACCAACAGAGCCAGTATAATCAGAAGTGAAGTTTGCTTAGTGTGAGCTGGTCGCCGGGCGCTCCGTCTTCACTGTCCAAGTAGAGCAGAGTGAATTGTTTATGCATACACTGTATGACCCAGAAATCAGGCCTGGAGAAAGAGACCAGCTGACTGTAGCCCTGTACACTACATTAGGGGCCTCAGCAGCCAACTCCCAGGACATTTTCCAAAGGTGAAGCTAATTAGTGATCCACTAGGGGATGTACAGAGGAAACAGGGGGGAGCTCTCGCTCCTTCTCCCCATTCGTACCAGGGGAGACCCTGAGGGGGGCTAGAAGAGGAGTCAGGGATTGGCTGGGCTCCAGTAAAATGACGATTCATAGGCTCTGCTGCCAGCCCCGCAGCTGCTCCTTTATCTGCTGCTAACAGTAGCTTTGAGCGCTAACCACAAACAAGCCTTTTCATAAGCTGCAGAAAATCATCTTTACTTCTGTAGATGCTCTAAACGCAAACAACTATTTTGTGGTTTTATGGACCGAGGGAGTGTGGGTAATGGGTAATGTATATTTCGATGCAGTCTTTAACTTCCTCCATCTGTGGTTCACTCATCATCCCGCTTTATAGCCCATCCAAATACTAATACACAGTCCTAGGCCCACTGCACAAATGTTACTGACAACAACAACAAAAAAGACTCTGGGCAAATGCCGATTCCCCCTTTCTACTGTCTGCATGCACAGTCAGAAAAGTCTCCTATTCGCTCTAAAAGTGTAAGCATAAGTGTCTCCACAACTGACTACCCTAAGGACTTTCAAGAACACATTTTCCATCAGTGGGGGAAGGCACAGTCAGATCCTTGTTACACGCTTGCTTAAAAGTACTAATTGGAACTTCTTTGAGGGGAAGAGGAGCTCATTGTCCCATATGGGGCTCTTCGCCTCGGGTGCCTCTTACTAATAAGCCAATGAGTGGATGGGGGAGGTTTGAGTGGGACTGTCATCTATCAATCATTTGTCATGGCTAGCTCAGCTTTGAGATGCATAGGTCATCTCAGCCAATGGGGCATTGACATGCATGGGTCAACTTCGTCACAACAGCATTGAGATGAGTAGGTGATCTCAGTTACTATACTGAACAAAAATATAAACGAAACATGCAAGAATTACAGTTCATTTAAGGAAATCAGTCAATTGAAATAAATTCATTAGGCCCTAATCTATGGATTTCACATGACTGTGCAGGGGTGCATAGGCC